CAAACAGACAAACATCAGTTGCTAAGTAGCAACTAGATTAACAATACTTCAGCACAGCTCAGAAAGTAATCAGAAACCAAACGACCCATTTGAAAACATAAACTCATTACAACAATGGTAACAACCTAACGAGGAATTTGGTTGAACCGATCAGAACGTCAAACTAACTAGACTCGTAGTAACTAAGACAAACAGATAATCGTGATCAAACAAACAACAATTAACCGATATTAACTAAAACTTTAAACAACGAGAATCGATTCAAACCAGTGTTCTGTTGAAACTAAACTAGAACAACTATCCTAATTTAACTAAATCAAAAGCATGAATAACATGATTAGGAAAAAGCATAGACATAGAACACAAATTAAAACAAAATCCTAATCGCTAAAGAAAACAGAAACTACAACTAACAGATTTTAACTTAAATAAGAAACTACAATCAAATATATTAAAACAACAAATGAGAAACATAGAGGAGAAGATTAGTATTTTACCTAAATTCTTAGGCTTCGAACCAGTAGTACAACACAACTAGGCGGGGAATCGACCTCCACACCTCTTTTTCTCAATGACAAATGCCGAAAAACACAAACTCCGGCGAACCGGGTTGAGTTCGGCACTGTGTCAAGGAGAAAAAGAGATTAAGGGGGTCGTGTTTAATGCACAGAAGAAGAGTTCCGGGGTTGATTGGGTGGTGAAGCAGTGGCGATGTCGCGGCACTGGGGGTGCTCGGCCGGCGGCGGTGTGGTTTTTTGGGGTAAAACTAGAGAGAAATGTAGATCTCCTGGAGATCTACATGTTTATGTGAAGTTTGTGTGGTGGGGTGGTCGGATTTGCCGTGAAATCTAAGAGGGAAGTAAGAGGCGGCTATCTAGGGTTTCGATTTCACGGAATTTAGAGGGGTTTTGGAGGATTTGGGGCTCGGATTAGGAGAGAGGGTAAAGAGAGGAAGAGATTGGTGTAGGTTTTATGGGCTTTGGATGTTGGCCGCTGCCGATGACGAATTCCGGCGGGCAGCGCTGGGCGGCGATGGACGGAGCTGCTGGGAAGAGAAATTAAAGAGAGATGAAGAAGAAAAATGAAGAGACAATAAGGAAAATCGAGGCAAAATTTTGGCCAAACTAGGCTTTAAATACCTTGGGTGGGAGATTAATCAGGGCCGTTGGATCAAGTGATGATGAGTGGCTAAGATTAAATCTTGCCTCATTTATCAAAACGATGCAGTTTTGGACGTCTCTCAGACCACAAGGTCTGGACCGGGTTTGGGCCGCGATTTTATCCAATTTTGAGCCAATTTTATTTTTTTTAAATGAAAAGCCCAGTCCCTTAACCCCCTTAACAAATTAAACAGTCTAATTCTAAAATCTACAAACACACACAAAAATAATTATTCAAAACTATAATGTAAAAGAAAGAACAAAAATTAGGCATTTACACCCACCCCACCCCCTCTCTCCAAAAAAAGGTTTTTTTTTCCTTCAAATTTCAGCCCGTTACCATGCACCCTACTACCGCTCCACTCACCCCCACCCCATCTCGCAAAATTTTTTTACCTTATCTTTTTTATTGTAATTTCAAATTCTATTTTGGTTTTCTGCACCACCACCCCCAACTGACCCCCCCCCCCACGAAAATATTATTTTACTTTTTTTTGTAATTTCAAATTCTATTTTTTCGTTTTCTATACCCCCCCCCCCCCCCCCCGGAAAAATATTTTTTAATATATTTTTCAGTTTTAGTTTTTTTATTTATCGGTTTAAAGGTTCAAAATTTTACAAGTTCCAAAGTTATGAGTTCGGAGCTTTATGTGTTTGGAAGTTTACGGGTTTAGAAATTATAAAGTTTACGGGTTAGAAATTTCGCGGTTTCGAAAGTTTAGTGGTTCGAAAGTTTATGAAAAATGTGGGTTCGGAAGGTTGTTGGTTTGAAAGTTTATGGCGTCATGTTTGTTATATCTAAATTATTTATGAATACTCTTGAGAAGTCATTTTCCTTAATTTGCGTACCAAACACCGGAAAATGAATAAGATTACTACTTGTTTTCCAAGAAAATATTTTCTTGGAAAACATTTTCCACGGAAAATATTTTCCGTTATACCAAAAACACCCTTATTCTCATTTGCTGACTTGTTGGTTTGTTATTTAAATTTTATTTTCTTGCTCCTCCCCCATAGAGGAAGACCTGTTTAATTCGGGGAAAACTTTCAAATTATTTAAAGGTAAAACGGCCTTCTGGCCACTTAATCCAATTGCCAGCTCAGTAAACGAACTTATAATTTTTCCATTTTGAACACCTTAACACATACATTTGTGAACTAATAAATTCCTCAAACGGGGTATGTATAACAATTATGCTGACATTATAACATATCACATTCCAAGACTATTTGTTGCTTGATGTGTATAATTTGTGTGTCCCATTTCTTTTAATCAATTTATCAAAATTTTGATTTCATTTTCTTTCCTTTTCTTCTTCATCGTCTACTACAGATAGGCCAACTTCATCTATCAGTTTCTTTTTGTTTTCAATGACATCACACATGCACCATCATCTCCTCACTCACACCTCTGCCACTAGCACCATCACACAATCACCAATAAGTCGAAGTCAATAGAAATTATCTCCACCGGAGACCGAAATAAGGAAAAAAAGAAGCAATACAGACAGCTCCATTAATTGTTCTGTCTCTAAATCCACAAGCTCACCACTCCTTTCCACCTATAGACCACAATAAAACAACACTAGAATGCTCCACCACTTTGAAACCATTGATCCCTATTCATTTTCTACTATAATTTCAAAATTGATTTTCTTTTATCTAATCATGTCTATGGTGATATAAACCACTGTAAAATTCGAATGCCATACAATTTTTGGATTCTTAATATTTCCTCTTAACTATACCCTCAACTTTTAGTGGAAGAAGACTGAGGAGTGCTTTTGACATTAAAACGCTGCTGGGTTTTATTTGGAAATAATGCAAAAAAATGGAAGGAAGAAGAAGAGAAAGAAGAGAGGTTTTGGTTGGACGGAAAAGGGAGAAAGGAGTAAGAATAGCTGGGTTGTTTTTAGTTGAGCTGTTAATTTTGTATGTGGGCCACTAGTTTGCTAAGCCCATATTTATTTAGATTGTAAATGGTAGATGGGCCTGTTTTTATTTTTCTGATTTTGGGTCTGTATGTAAATACACACACTTATAGCTTGGACGCTGATTTTTGAATGACAGATTCATTTCTCTCTCTAGAATCTTCCATGGATCTTTTCTCTCTCAATTCATCTATGTTGATTTCTTTCATTTTCCGTCGAATCTAACATGGTATCAGAGCAATTCGTTGCGCATTCGAGTTAGTTCCAAAGTTTCTTTCAAAGCTGAATATTCGAGATACTGTTTTTTAAGCCCTAATTTTTTTTTGGAAACCCTAATTTCATGGATTTTCTCTTGAGTTTCGGTGTTCTTCTTAAGATTTGGCTGATATTTCTCATAGTCTCAAGTTTTTGATGGCGATTTGTTGTAATTTCGTGTGGGTTAGCTGATTCTGTGACCCGATTTTGAGAATTTTTTTTTCGGCAAAACGTGTTCGCTTCTGGTGCTTTCAGTGATTCCTTCGTGATTTTTGTTAACTTTGATGGTGTTTTGGTAAGATTCTATTACTTCTTATTTTGTACGATTCCACAGGTGTATTGATTGTTCCTTTGGTGGTGTTTCTAGGTTGATTTTTTTTTGTGAAGTCAACTGGTAAACTTGATCCAAAATCAATGGGTGATCGAAGTGATCCTGATGACAATGGACCAGATACTTTGGACTCGAAAATGAACTTAACCTGCCTTCATCTCATCGATTTTATTTGCATCCTTCAGATAACCCTGGTATTGTGTTAGTCTCGAAACAATTCAATGGGACTTGCTTTGGGGCTTGGAGAAGGGGTATCATAATTGCTTTGTCAGCTAAAACGAAAATAGGTTTCATAAATGGAAATTATGTGCAGCTCCTCAAAATTTCATTTTGTTTGACCAGTGGGAACAATGTAACAACATGATTATTAGCTGGATCCTTAATTCCCTTGACCTGACATTGCCCAAAGTGTGATATACTCTAAGACTTCTAAGAGTCTCTGAGATGAACTCAATCATAGATATGGTCAGTTAAATGGTGCGAGAATGTATGAAGTACAAAAGGATTTAAGTTCTGTCTCCCAGGGTTCTTCTGATGTTGGAGGATATTTCAACAAAGTAAAGAGGTTATGGGATAAGATGGATTCTCTAGATGCTGAATCTTATTGTGTCTGTGAGTGTAATTGTGGGGGAAAACACAAAATGATTAAACATGCAGAAAATAAAAAATTACTGCAGTTTCTAATGGGTTTGAATGAATTATATGGTAATGCGAGAGGTAATATTCTGATGATGGAGCCTTTGCCTGATGTGATCAAGGCATATTCCTTAATAATTCAAGATGAGAAACAGAGAGGCATACACAAAGTTCCAGCTTTTCAATCCGATGCAACCTCCTTCTCTGCTGGTTCAACTGTCAACCCCAGTGGCATAAAATACACAACTGGTCCATCCAACTCTAACCCAAGATATAACTTCAGTACTACTAATCAAACCCAGAGGTATAATAGTGACTCAAAGAAATTGTTCTGCAAATATTGCAAAAAGAATGGACATACAATTGAGAAATATTTCAAACTACATGGGTACCCGCAGAATTCAAAGCCTGTCAGTAGGAGTATGAAAGTGGCTGCCAATGTATGCTCCTCTTCTGATGGAAAACTTGATAACTGCAGTCAAAACTCTTATAGCAATGCTTCAACTCCTCATGCCATAACCACATAATAGTACAATCAACTAATGAACATCCTTCAGAATGTCCAAGTGGTGGAAACGCTCAATCTCAGTCTGTCCCTACTGCTGCCAATTTTTCAGGTATTTCTGCTTGTTCTATCCATACTGGTTGTAAGTGTACTTGTCTAGCTTCGATACAAAATTCTGATACATGGATCTTGGATTCGGAGCATCAGACCATATGACATCCAACAAATCTTTACTCTCAAATATTGTTTCTTTACCCACTCCATATCTCATTACTCTACCTAATGGCTATAAAGTGAAAGTATCATATTATGGTTCTGTGGTACTTAATTCTGTTGTTACACTTTATACGGTCCTATATGTGCCAACCTTTAAATATAATCTCATTTCTGTCCACAAATTGTTAGTTGGTACATCTTCACTCTTGATTCTCACCAGCAGTTCCTATTATTTACAAGGCCCTTCTCTGAAGAGGCCGTTGGAACTTGGTAAGGTGACAACTGGGCTATATCTTGTCAAATCCAAAACTTTCCAAGTTAAAGATCCACAAAGTATTTATCCTGTTGTTTTTATCCTTTATGTTTCTGCAAATAATGTGACTAGTACCAAATCTCATGTACTATGGCTCAATAGATTAGGCCATCTTCCTTTTTCAGAACTGCAAAAACTTAATTGTGCTGATATCCCTCACTGCAATAGACATCCTTTCATTTGTGACATATGCCCACTTGCTAGACAACAAAGATTGCTTTTTTCACAAAGTGCTTCCTCTTCTCAGAATATTTTTGATCTTCTTCATGTTGATATATGGGACCCTATCACACTCCTACACAAAGACATTATAAGTATTTTCTTACTATAGTAGATGATTGTAGTAGATATACTTGGACTCATCTACTAAGTCATAAACGAAATGCATTGTCTATTCTGAAATCTTTCTTTTCCATGGTTGAAACACAATTCAATTTAAAAATAAAATCCATTAGAACTGATAATGCTTTGGAACTTGGTTCCAGCTATGAAGCTTCTCAATTCCTTCAATCTAAAGGTGTCATCCATCAAACCACAGTTCCTTGCTTTACTTTTTCTATCCAGATTACCAATTCATTTTTGGGGTGATTGTGTATTGACAGCTACATACTTGATAAATAGATTCCCCAGTACTGTTTTGTCAGGCAAAACTCCCTATGAATTACTTTCTGGTGTGTTGCCCACATATACACACTTGAGAAGTTTTGGATGTCTTTGTTATGCTGTTACACCTAAACCCTTCAGGGATAAGTTTTCCCCTAGGTCAGTTACATGTATTTTTCTAGGTTATCCACCTGGAAAGAAAGCTTACAAACTCCAACAGTTGTCTGATAGGAAAACACTTATTTCAAGAGATGTGATTTTTCATGAGAACATTTTTCCATTTTGCAAATCCTCCATACCAAAGACACTATTCGCAAATCTGCCATCTATACTTCCAGACCCAGAACAATCACCTCACATTGACCATGTACCAGCACCTTTTCCAACTTCTACTCATGAACCTGGCTCCAACATTTCTTCTAGTGGTGATATGGATGCACCTTTATCCAGTCCTATTGTGTCTCCTAATTCTCTCCTTCCTCTCTTGTCCCTATTTCTCCTTCCATTTCTTCTGATCCTACTGACCCTACTGTTGTTCCTGGAAGATATCCTTCTAGAAATCACAATCCTCCTTCTTATCTTCAAGATTATATCTGTCCCACCTTAACTTCCTTAAATTTTTTGCCTAAGTCTGTTTGTTTTAGTACTTTGAGTTCCATTGATCATAATTTAGTTAAGAGTCTAGATAATGTGCATGAACCAGTAACTTTCCAGCAAGCAATTTTAAATCCTGCTTGGCAAGAAGCTATGTTAAAAAAATTTGATGCACTTGAGGCAAATAAGACTTGGGATATAATGCCCTTACCACCAGGCAAGAAACCCATAGGGAATAAATAGGTGTACAAAATCAAACATAGGGCAGATGGTAGTATTGAAAGGTTTAAGACCAGGTTAGTGGTAAGGGGGGACACACAAACTGAAGGGTTGATTATACAGAGACATTTTCCCCGTAGTTAAAATGACCACCATTAGAGCTATTATTGCAGTGTCTGTTAAGAGGCATTGGCCTATGTTTCAATTAGACGTGAACAATGTATTTTTGCATGGATACCTTGATGAAGAGGTGTATATGAGGATCCCACAGGGTTTGGTAGTTTCTGGTGATAATCTGGTATGTAAGTTGAAAAAATCCTTATATGGATTAAAACAAGCTTCTAAACAATGGTACTCCGAATTAAGTGATTCTTTGATTTCTAGGGAGTTATACTGCATCCAAAAATGACTATTCTCTTTTTATTAAATCTGTCAATTCTTTGATTACTGTTGTTGCTGTGTATGTTGATGACATCCTTTTGAGTGGAAATGATGATAAGGAAATTTCTTCCCTTAAATTATTTCTGGACAATCAGTTCAAAATTGAGGATATGGTACATTTGCATTATTTTCTTGGTTTGGAAATTCTGTCAGAATCTGGTGGGGGTGCTTGTTTGTCAGAGAAAGTTTGCTATGAATATCTTAATTTAATTTGATTGTCTAGAATGCACTTCTATTAGCAGTCCCTTAGATGCTAATCAAAAGCTCAAGGCTGTTGATGGGAAGTCTTTATCTGATCCTACTTTGTATAGAAAACTGATCGGCAAATTGAATTTTCTTACAAACACAAGACCTGATCTTGCCTACTCAGTTCAATGCTTGAGTCAGTTTATGCATGCTCCTTGTGATTCACATTTAGCTGCTGCCTATCATGTTCTTCGATACATCAAGGGTACTTTAGGTCAAGGGTTGTTTATGGGCGTAGATAATGATTTTTTCCTTGAGTGCTTTCTTTGAATCTGACTGGGAAGCCTGCTCAGATTCATACAGATCGGCAAGTGGTTACCTGGTTACTCTTGGGAATTCTCTTCTTATTTGGAAATCCAAGAAGCAACACATTGTGTCTCTGTCTTCAGCCGAGGCAGAGTATCGATCCATGCGACGAGTCGTTGCCGAGTTATCTTGGCTTACCAGATTATGGCTGAACTCTCTATCACCTCCATTGTGCCTGTTCCTTTGCATTGTGATAGTCAGTCAGATATATACATTGCACAGAATCCGGTATTTTATGAGCGCACCAAATACATCGAGTTAGATTGTCATTTTGTACGTGAAAAGTTACAAGATGGGCTAATTTCTTTATCTTTTGTCCCAGGCCGGCTGCCGCTTGCTGATATGCTTATGAAGCCACTCCCTGGTGTCGCTCATCGTTTTATCTTGAGCAAGTTGGGTGTGGCTAACCACCCTCCAACTTGAGGGGGGATGTTAGAATACCTGGGTTGTTATTAGTTGGGCTGTTAATTTTATATATGAGCCACTAGTTTGCTAAGCCCATATTTATTTAGATTGTAAATGGTAGATGGGCCTGTTTTTATTTTTCTGATTTTGGGTCTGTATATAAATACACACACTTATAGCTTGGACGCTGATGTTTGAATGACAGATTCATTTCTCTCTCTAGAATCTTCCATGGATCTTTTCTCTCTCAATTCATCTCTGTTGATTACTTTCATTTTCTGTCGAATCTAACAAGGGGAAGGAGAAAAAGGAGGGTGGGGGGGGGAGGGATGGGGGGGGGGGGGGGGTAAACGGAAGAGTAAAGAAAGGGAAGGGA